TTACGGGTCTGTGGTACCAACTATGGTTCGTTGTAAATAAAAGTAACGATTAGTGCCAAAGGATAAATGTCTGGTTTAGGCTTTAGCAAATGTGCGGCCAAATATTTAGGGGATAACTCACCTTGGTGGTGATGTAAAAGCGGAATTCGGTTGAATACTCTATTACTGCGTCACCTAATTTGATGCAGAGAGCACCGCCCTGCTTAAAGGTCTGTTTCAGTAGCAGAGGCTCCAAGACAGGATCCAATTCCTCCCCGACATTCTCCAGCAGCACCGGCTGACCAAACTGAATACAATTTTCCAGGCTTCTCACAAAGTCTGAATTCGACAGCTTCAAGACAACCAGGTTATTCTTCTTCTCCATGTTCTTGACCCACTTGTTCGCCTGAGACTGTGGATCAATCATGAGGGGCCACCGTCGAGCAGTCCTTGAAAGGGCAGATGAAACAGAATGAGGAAATAAATTTCAGAATTTCTATAAACCTTTCGGACACGCGTTTGCGAGAAGACTGGTCGCTGGACTAAATGCAGCTGTGACGAAGAACAACCTTCAGGTTTCTGCTCAAAAAGGTGGCTGCTTAACTTAAAAATCAAACTTCACATTATGCCGATTTTGACAAAACATGCTGAAATCAGGATTAATCTGCCTCAAGGATGTTCAGATTTAGTGACGATGACGGACCAGTACGCAGACCTCGGGCCCTCATTTTTCCATACCTTATGCTCCACCAACTCTTTTCGACAGTTTCTATGGATTCTACTTGGTTAGTTTGGACAATTTCACTGCCTTGTGTTGGTCATCGCTTGGTCCGTTTGAGTGCTAATGTGCGACTTTATTATGATGCATTTGATTTCGAATGCATTCTCAGGGATAAAAAAAGTGGTCATTTCCATCCTAAATCCTTATATTATCCTAAATTATTTGATAGCCTGTACTTTTGAGGATAACAAATTAAATTTTGGGGCTCCATCCCTACCTACTACTAAGTTATTTGATTTCTGCTGTATTTTTCGGGAACAAAAATAGACTTTTCCGTCCAATAACATCGAACACTGAGGCTCTTGGCGTGAAACCATGACTTTTCTCAGAATCTGCAAGTACCAGGTGCTGTTGACCGCCTTCCATCGGGTTGAATACAGTCGAGATCTTGCAGTATAATCTGGGTAGTCCTCCACTCTTTTTCATTAGCTACTTGGCCTAGGACAATTTCCCCTTCCTTCGTCAAAAAAGTCACTGCGGCTTCCGTACTTTCCGCATATTTTAATTTGGCGCTTGCTTTCCGGCACTCCATATGTGGACTGAAATGAAAAACAAACAATTTATGCCTGTTTTACATTATTCTTGGCGTTTCTTCATCCATTTTCTGCACCTGCCTTTGTGTACCATCCGTAAAACCGCTATTACCAACGTCACTGTCTTACACATGGCCTTTGCGACCTCGCCCTTACTACAGCTGTACACTTTGCCTTAGTAACAAAGATGTCTGCGTGACTGAACTCATTCCAACAATGTCAATGTCCTTGTCCTTGGCACATCCTAACCGTAGCTTTCGGTTAATAAGGTCGGTCATTGATTCCTACTGAATACTTAAGAACCGAAACTGATTGTATATGTGGCCTCAAAGCCTCTCGCTTATTAAATTTACAATCCCACTTAATTCGAACAGTTACTGCCTGTTGTGACCCGACTAGTAGGCAGAAGAAGCCAAGAGAGCGGTACCGATAAGAAGCCTTTATTTTGATCAATACAGAGACAGCAGGATCCTTAGTTTTTCCAATACGGCCTATTTATAAGGCTTTGGCCTTCTAGAATACTCCTTGTCCAATAGCATGCGATCACTGTTCTGGTCT